GTTTTACGGTTTGGTTATTGTTTGAGATGTAAATTGGATAGTGTTTCAATAAGTATGGGATTATTGAGTAGTTTAATTTGGTTTAATGGTTTAGTTGATTTAAGTGTCTTTTGATTTCTGCGCACTGTGTTGTGATCGTTGAGGATTATTATTTATGATAATAATAATCTGAATTTAATTAGAAATTTTAAAAAACAAAAAAACGGGTCGGGTTGTTTCAATAAGTCTACCATAACTACGAAACAAATCTACCATAACTTCACAATAAGTCTACCATAACTCCAAATTAAGTCTATCATAACTAAAAAAAATCAACCAGTATGAGATGTAATGAAATTTACCCCCGTACTCAACCACCCATAGCTGGGATTGTCTGCTGGCCACAAGTGTTTAGGTGTCATAATTCCCAAGTATAATTCTACTCCAGCAAGGCTATTGTCGAATGGATTTTCCCTAAATAATGGAAAGGATAAAACGCTAAGAACGATGAAAAGAGGTACTACATTGTATAAGATAGTTTTAACAAAAACAAGTACATATAACTTACAAATCAGTCTTCACGTACGCAAGCAACCGATCCAGTTTAGACTTGTCCACCGGTGCAAAAAGATCGTAGACAGCAGGAGAAGGAGTTTCACCATACATGATCCGTAAAGTTTCAGAGTTTCCTATGAATGGGTCCACTTGGGTTTTTGCAAGAGTCATTTTACGACGTTTGAGGACACCGAAATCATCATTCTTTGTCAAGTCAAGAAGCTTATTTAATGCACCTCCCAATGTTTTGTTGACCTTCTCTTCCTGTAGGTCAGAATAAGTTGGGACCGGTGAAGGATGCTTACCTTTTGGAGTAGGTGTCACATCTTTAGTCATATCAAAAAACTCAACAACAGTCTTCTTATGGGACTTAACATCAGGTTTTCCATACTTTTCCACTTCACTCTTCTCTTTAGTCATATCAATAAAGGCAACATTCTTCTTCTTCTCAACAGCACTTTCCACATTTGCAAAGATCTTTGCCCCAACTTTCGGGTTTCTAACAACCTAGTTAATTGGGAACTCGGCTTGGTATGTTGTCTAATGCTCTACCATCCATGATATCTGTCATGGTAGCACAATTAAATATAATTGAATACGGAAAATTAAAGTTTGACTCAAGTGGCTGTAATGAATAAACTGAAATTTATTAAATAAGTCTACCATCACGTGCAATAAATCTACCATCATTTGAAATAATTCTACCATGAAGTGGAATAAATCTACCATGATGTGGAATAAATCTACCATGAAATGAAAAATTTAATTTACCATCGATTTCAATGTAATAAATAAACTAAAATTTAAGAAATAAGTCTACCATTAGACAAATCAAATGTATCATAACTGACAACAAATTATTTTTTTAACACAAATAAAATGTATCATAAGTCTACCATAACACAAATCAAATGTACTACAAGTCTACCATAACTGACAACAAATTCCACAACATAAACTCAAGGATTCCTACCATCAAAGTTCAGTAACTCTCCAGTAACTTCCACAAGTTACTTCCACTAAAAGAGAATCTTACCTACCGCATCTGGGGTCTTAGACCCATCTCCTTCTTCGCCCACCTTTGAATGTGTATCTAGCTCACTTGCCTTGCCTTTCTCTTTCGCTTGTGTTGCCATCTTAGTGTCCTGCTTCTCTAGTGTTGCCATCCTAAGGTCGATGCCATCGTACTTCTTGCCCAAGTCATCCACTTTACCAACCAATTTATTAAGGAGCGCAACCACTTCACCACTCTCTTTCACTTTTTTCTTTTCAACCCTTCCTTCACCACTACGACTCTCTTGATTTGCTATAAAATCTCTCGTAACGGGATACTCATGTCTTCTTCCTCGCTAGACGGCTCACTGATTTTTCTCCTCTTCTTGTCCTTCTTTTCCTTCTTTTTCTTCTTTTCCTTCTCTTCCTTCTCTTCGATCTGAGATGCTTTCTGGATTTTTTCTACCCTTCTTCTTCGAAGTCCTTCCCACAAAATTTTCAACAAAATCATCTTCACTTTCCTCAACCAA